ACACACATGGACCCACCATGAACAGATTGCCTGTGAATAAAGTTTGTCCATCTGAATAGCAGTGTCAGGCGAAAAGAAGCTGCATTTTTTAAATCACAGTCATATTATTTAAGCGAGTTGTATTATTCTGTGTGTTGCCTTTATCTGAAGATTGCAGGCATTTGTGATTATCTGTCATTTTACCTTTGTACAGCTGTTTCCCTCCTGATAGGCCACAGAAATTTGCCACATGGCAGTAACAGCAACTGTCTCATCCAGCATGTTACAAAGGAACAGGGAGAAAGGGAGTGTCTAGCTCAGGGCTGCTATAGCAGATTGCTACACTTAGAGAAATACTGTAAAGCTATTTCTCTCCATTTTTAATGCTGTGTCTGAGCAGCCTATGCTCGACAAATTGTGTGGTGTTCAAGTTGTCTGTCTGTGCAAGATGAAGAGCTGAGCTGGCAGTACCAGGATTGAACCTATGCATCTTGCAGCAGTAGCTATTCCAGGGCCCATGCTTGGGACTATGAAACAATCCTGAAACCAGAGCTCTGAAATTACAGCAGTATCTTGAGGGTTAAAGGGCTGGAAAAGGCTCCTCAGGTCTTAAAACCATCAATACCCGAAGCTATTGTGATGTTCAGCCTGTGTCTGCTGAGCAAGGCTGCACAGTTGGCATCACTCCAGCTGCAGCTGCTCTTTAAAGTTGAAATAGAGCTGCTTGGAAAGGGTTTTTTTTTTAAAATATATTATTTTCTCAGCTTGGAGAATAATCGGTGTTGTGTTGTCCCTCCCCCCCAGCAGCAGTTTCAGTTTAGGTTGTGTCCCACCACTCATACCCTGGCTGCAGCCTTAAAGGAGCACAGACCAAACCTCAGTGATTTTCAGCAAGGCCACAAAGTCATTGGAAAGGTTCCCACTGACTTCTTCGGTGAGCTCGGAAAGGCAGGCTCCAGCGCTTCCAGCTGCTGTAAATAATGTCTAGGAGAGGCCGGATAAGGAACAGGGGGGACGCATGGCCTTGCTTCGAGCTCGTCTTTCATTTCCTTTGTCTCTTAAAAGAGAAAAAGGGAGCTAATTTCATCTAACTTGGCACGTCATCTGATCATTGGGCCCTTGGGGGTCTGTTCAGTGCTTCCTCTCCCACCAACAGGACTTAAGGCTCCAGGTTTTACTTGGAGGAGTCAAAGGCCTCTTGGGTGCCTGGAGGGGAGAACACAAAGTGTTAAATGCAGGAAGAGCATTGGAAATCACTCTAAAGGCAATTTGCTAGCTTTGATCTGTCACTTGGCAGATCCTGGAGACAGGCTTGTCTGAGGCTATCTCCACAGCAGAGTTTGGAAGTGGCTGAGCAAGGCACTGCTCAGCTCAGGGGATCAAAGTGCACTGGAGAGAAAAGGGGCATGATGTTCTCTGAAGCAGGAGCTGCAAAATGCAAATGCACTGCTGCTCTCAGCTGGGAAGCCAGCAGGGAGGATGTGTTTCCCTCCTTTCCCTCTTTCTGTGGATTTTTCAACAGGTTAAGTCGGATTTGGTTGTTAAAGATTCCAAGTACTGAGAGAGACAAACGCAGCATCTGCAGAAGGAAGGAAGGTAGTAGTGTTAGGGTGGGGTTAGTAGCCAGATAAAGTGGCAAATTCTAAGTTATGGAAACCTTACTGTATCATTCTCTTAATTCAGCAGAAGGTGATGAGGAGATGAATTAAATATAGAAACTAGACATGCCAGAACTCAAAGAATGTGCGTGCTCTTGTTCAACACTAGGATACAGAATGCACAATTTCATGCAAATCAGACTTCATTTATTTTCTGTTTTGCTTCTTCAGTTAAATATGAGATGAATGAGAGCGAGAGCTTTTTTTCAGCATCCCATATCTAGTAAATTCATTCTGGGAATGGAGGAAATAGAGTGAATATGATTCTGGACAATGACATCGCCAATGATCCAAAAATATTTGCACTGGGTGACCTGAATAGTCTCTTGAATACAAATGAACCACAGGGGAAAATTTCTATTAAGAGCAAATGCAGTAGCTAAAAGGGTGGTATTACTGAATTGGAAATAGGCAGAAGGATTAAAGCTTGCTGAATTGTACACAGGATTAAGTGAATTGACACATGTGGAGAAAATAATTTCAATAATAAACAGGCTTTTGTTCTTTGGGAATCTTTCTGAGAAATACAGTCGTAATTTTCAGAGAGTTATGACTGAATTGTCATACTATTCATAATAAGTTACTGCTGTGATGCAGAATGATGGAATGTATTCATGTGGTAAAGTGATGATCCATATTAGTATTATGTTAGTGAAAAAACATAAATATTTGAAACAAAATTAAACTTTGTATGTTAAAGAGGTTATGCTACAATATGCTTTCATTTGCGGGACACCTTCAAAATGATGGTTTGCCTGCTGGGTCATCACATAACACTTTCTCCTGCTGTTTACTAATAGGGGACTAAATCACACATACAGGCAGGAAACTCTGTGAAGGCCAGGCAGAAGGGATTTCAGTTTCATGGTTATCTTTTCTTTGCTGTCTGTGTTGTCCCTCTACATGGTGATCCTGTTGAAACAGGGCCATGCAAACGCAATAGCTGGTGATTCTGTTGGAAATTAGGTGGTTGTGGTTATTACTGCTCTTCTACTATCTAATGTCTGCCTAAGTCATGAGTACTATTCTCAAAGACAGTCAACCTGGGACATCGCAAAGTTTTACAAGCGATGTGGTTAAAATCTAGTAAGCCGGACATTTCAGGCTTGTTGCTTTGTCAATGGCTCATATTTCTTATCAGGTTAAGTCTAACTGGCTGCAATTACTATGCATTGAAGGTTCCAGCAGAAATATCATCTCTGTTTTTACAGCTTTACAACTTCCCAAGGCACTCTTTGCCACTCATTTTTTCCATGCATGGTCTCCAGCAGATGTCAGTCATTTTTTTTCCTCAGCCCCTTTAAGTTCGTCAGTGAAAAAAAGTGACTGAATCTTTGTAACTTACTGGGGTAAGGGGTACATCTTATCTCACCTTGTGTCATATCACAGCGTTTGCTTTCAGTAAACAATAATAGTTACAACTTGTTAATTAATGGGCAACAAACTTGTAATCTCTGGGTTTGGAGCACCTGTGGGCAAGAGAGCACCCAGCTGAACATTTTGAAGTTCTAATGCTGACTATTCAGGTATTTCCTGATAGCATTGAAATATAAAAGGTTTACCCTGAAACGGTTGTGACCTGCCTGTTTTCTATGGCTTTGAGGGTTAGCAGAGTCTTTATTTAAATTGACAGAGATTAAGAAATTCTTCTTGACAAAACAACTGTTCACGTGATTAGCAAAACCGCTAATAGAGGCGTGGTGAACAGCAGGCAAACAAAAGCCCTTTGTCTCCAGCTCTGCAGTTAATGCTAAAATATTGATGGACAACATACAATTTTCAATCACTCCATACAGGACTGTAGGTGAATGAAGAATGGCTCTGATCCAGCACTGCTTAGTGTCTTCTTTGAGGCCACTCAAGAAGAATGGTGGAAAGTGGTGCAAAGAGATGGTGGCTTGCTGGTTGGGGTGCTTGGCAGTCAGGCTGCACCTGGGCTCTTCTTTTGGTGTCGTTGGTAGCACAGGGCTTCTTCCTCCTTGGTGGAAGAAAGTGTGTGCACATGGAAATGTTTGTGTTGGTGAGTGAGGACTCGGTTTGCCCTTTTTTTTGAGGTCACTTTGCTTTAAAGGAATTGATCCTGAAAAATGCTAAAGGGCAGGAACAGAGCATTAGCATAGCATGCTAGAGATGTTATAGGTAGCAGATTCAGTAGCAGAACTCTGCTCTACCACATTTTTGCCCTTACTCCATGTACCTCCAAGTAGTGTCTGAAATCATTGCCTGTCATAAACAGTTAATTATTTCATGTATTGCCTCCCCACAACAGTCACTTGGAGCACAGAGGGCTGTGTAAGATTTCATAGCAGGGAATTGGGGTTTTTTGTTGCTCTTGTCATCTGTGCTGGGATTTGGTTTTAATGCTAGAAATATGCTTGGCACGGATGATGGGGATGTAAAGCACTGTGGCTCTGGGGAGTTCTTTGCACAGTGTTGCCCTGGATAGTATCCCACAGGGATGAGTTTTACTGTTGTAGCAGAAGGAAAGTGTGACCCTGCTAAAGGAACACAGTTGGTGATTGCAGTTCTCAAATTGCAAAGAGGATGTACTTGAGCAATTCTGTTGCTATGTTGGAGAGCATTGGGAATGGTCAACAAATGGCCTTGACCTATGGTCCCAATGCCTGCCATATGTCAGCATTGAATAATGTTAACTGAATCTGAAATCACTTGAATTTGAGTGAGAAATGAATTATAAACCACAGTACTGAGACCAGAGCAGGAACTACTTTTCTTTACCTGATAGGTGAATCAAAGGCTGGTTGGTTGCAGCATAGCCGGAGCCCAGGTGAGTGCCTGAAAGTTCATGTTAACTATAGAGAAGGTGGCTGTGGCATCTGGGGTGATGAAGCCCTGCTGAGAAGCCTGCAGTCTTTGCCCAGGATTTATGCTCCAACAAGGAACGAAACTTCAAAAGTGCACTTCTTTGCTGATGTTCACTATGTTGGTTTGGTGTGTGGAGCTTTGGGTCTGCTTCTGACATGCTCAACCCTTTTCTGAATTTTGAATATTGTGGCTACATGGGCTTCTTGGGATGACACAGACACAACTTAAGAATAGTTTCTGGCATTCCAAAAATTCTGATTTTGCTGTCTGGGGAAATGGACTAACTACAGTTTGTTCCATTTAAAAGCAGAAAGTTGTTTTTATTGCAAAACCCCAAACTGCATTTGAATATTCCTGTGCTCTTCTATCTCCCACCTCTTGCTCCCTGTCAGTAAGCGAGATCTTTCAGTGCTTTTCTCAGTGACAAAGTGATTCTACATTATTTCCTACAGAGGTTTCTGCTGAAGTGGGCTGGCTGCAAAGAAGCAGCGGCTCTTTTACATTCAGTAACCATACAATTTTCTCTATCAGCATGGAGCATTTGACTCATGTGCCCTAGAAAATAACTGCTCACTCCCACTATGTGCTCATGTACTGAGCTGGGATCTAAACCTGACCTGCAGTTCTGGGATGCAAACTCATGATCAAAATCACTGGATGCAGGAGGTCAGTGTTGCAGTGTCCTTAGTCTCTGGGGTGAGAGTCCACTATTTAAGGAGTAGTGTTGTGAATTCAAAACAGGTTAATGCTTTCTAAGGTCTAGTGAAGTTACAAAAACATGGTACAAAAGAGCATGCCTGCCTTAAATAAAAGCTGATTATAGAGCTCAATCCTGTTTCTATTAAAGTCAATAAGGAGATCATGCTTCTAAATTTCACCCAACCTGGGTCAGGGTCTTTTACAGGGGGCAAAAAGTTTCTGTATGAAAAATTGAGGTGTTTGGTTTCCAGCACAAGCAGTAATTCTGCTCTTGCAGTAATGCAATGCAAGTGTGCTCTTCAGGGAGTTTATTTAATAAACAGCACAAAAACAGTGGTTCTGTCTACAGCCTTTTCTCCCACACAGCACCTTGAAAGGAACTGAGTACTGGGCCGTATGAAGCGAAGGCTAACCTTCAACAGGATTTTATTCTCCCCATAGTCCAGGGATTAAGTTTTCATTACAGTTAATAGGACATGGAATAGCTAATATTTTAAGCCAGATCTGAGGCTGTGAATGGGTAGCAGAGTTGTGACTGATACAGTTTTCTTTATTTGATACTCTCAGAATGTGCACAATCCAGAGGTGCCTGGTTGTAAAGCTTGGAAATAGACTCACCTCCTACAGTGATTATCAGAAAGACTTCTGATCCACCTGCACACATAAGCTGGATATTTGTATGCACGCATACATCCACCAAGCACAAGTCTCTTGAGAGTATTGGCTCTCGTTATTGGTGAGGTTTTGTTTCATGATTGTTGCTCTGAATTTCTCATTTGTTATTCCCTATTTTCTATACTGGAAACCATGTTGCTGAACTCACCTAATAAAGGAGAAGTGTCTGCTAATAGTTGCGCTTCAGGGGGAGATAATGATGAGCAGGCTGGGATTTCAGAGAACGCTGCAGAAACCTACCTCTGAAACCCGGTTCTGACAATGAATCACCGTCATGCAGCAGCACCATTGCCTGTGGTGCTCTCCTGTAGCTACCCACAGATCTGCCAAATGCTGAGGAGCATATACTGAAGTACCCTAGAGGGTGGTTAGCCATGTGGCTGCTCCATTAATTTTCTTGGTGGCCCTGTGACATCTGTATGTTGCTATGGGGAAAAACGTGCCCTCTGAGATTTAATTTTAGGGTCATAAAGACCTAATATCCCTTTTCCATAAAGCAGAGAGCAGCAAATGATTCCTCAGTGCATTTTGGCTTTGTTTTGTAGCATGTGAGGACAGGGAGGTTTATGAGTTTATTTGGTATGTAAAATCACTTGGTTAGTTGTGCAGAACATCGTTTATGGCTATTTCACAACCTTTTTGGACATTCTCAGGGACAGAAATTAATTTCATGGTGTGACCAAGTACAGAAAGTGCTTCTTCTGAAGTTCCTTTCTATAGAAATTAATGAAGTAATCCTAGGAATGAATTCTGAATGTGTTAATTTGCTGATCATCTTCACTGTTAACCGGAAATTGACAGAGAAGTGTCAAGTGCTCTAATCCCAAACCATGGGGGAGAGCGGAGAGCAATGGAAGACAGACTGCTCAGCCAGCACTGATTTTCTTTGCTCTGTTCCCCTTGCTGTGGAAGGGGTCTCTTCATCATCAACTTGAGTTGTCTGTTTGGTAGTGCTAGTAAATCCAGAGGGACTGTGAACCCATGGCCCAAGGTCCCTCTGCCCATGCGTGAACTGTAGTATTCCTGTCCTAGGTGCTGTTTATAGTGTTAGGTGTTACCTTCAGAAGATTGTTCCCCTCCCACATAGAGTCTCAGCTTTACCAAGGCTGGATCTCCTTCAAAGAGAGCAGCCTTCACAGTCCTAACAGGCTTTCATCCATATGGCTTCTCTCCTCCCCCTTCTCCTTCCCACTTTGGCTTTCTCTTGTTCACCTGTCTGCTCTGCAGCTTGCTTGGATGTATTGCTGACTTGGGAGCTCCAGCTTTCAAGGTTTCTGTCCTAGCATGTGGCTGAATCCTAAATGTGACTCTCTGGCTGTGAGCATGTTGCATGGGATGGGCTAAGGGCTGGACCGAAGCTACTTTCAACTCTCTCACAGTGCTTCCCTTCCCCACTGGCCAAAGAAGCCATACATCCTTTTCCTGGTAAATAAAAGAGTTCAAAGACCTGCCCTGTGGTTTCCTTCCTACCATTAAACAGATCCATCTCTATACATCAAATACCATTTTCTTTCGCAGCCAGCCAGCTCTCCTGACTGTGCTCTTTGCTGATCTGGTGGTTATTTTCGGTGTTGCTGTGGAGGTCTGCTCTCAGCGCACCAAGAGCCAATGCTCCTGACAGGCAGCACAATCCTGGAGTGCCTTGGCAGGCTGCCTGTGTCTGTCCTGCAGGCCCTGGGGGACTCTCACACGTTTTGCCGCTGATTTTCCCCTTTCCTCGAGATCTGAGGCGGTTTTCCGAGCAGTCACTCGGAGCAATCGTTCCCTTTGCCCTGCAATATTATTTTATTTATTTTTAGTAAATGTTTGTCAGTGTTTCTAACATTGTGCCTCCAGCAACGCGGCCTGGACTGGAGCCACGCAGCAGTCTGACAACCTGTTAGGCGAGTCTCCTATCAATTAGGCTGCAGCTGTCATTGGATCTATTCTCAGCCTCCTTGGTACGTGTTTGCAAATAACAGGGGCTGCTGGTTTGCAGCTCTTGATTTCTTTCCTCCTCCATAGCCAGTCAAGAACATTTTGTCCCTAGAATTCCTCCTGTCTCCTTTGTTTTTGCTTTCTAATCATCTTCGCTTTATTCTCCTCAGAATATATGCTCATCGAGGATGTTGTTGGAAGCAAAGTGTCTGCTCTCTTTATTATTTAATGCACAAACCAAGGAAAACCTCCCCCAAGGAAACAAAAAAAGGAATATCTCACTCAAGGCTATACTTTGATCCTTTAAATGTTTTCAGATTTTCTCCAAAGCACCCAGCCTGCCTCTTACATGTGGGGAGCCACCATTTTGAAAGCCTGCCTTGCATGGAAGCTCTCCATGGGGGCTGCTTTGTTTTTGCTGATGTTTGAGCTTCGAGATCATTGTGTGGTTTATTATCAGGTTTGCCACAGCTGGAAAGAGAGTCCCCAGCAATGTACAATCTGTTAGAATTCCCTCTCATGCCTTCTACCATTTGCACTTTCTCTTCTATAAAAGTAATAGAAATGGCTCTATAGCTTCTTTCCAGATGTTGCACACTGCATGGTGGTACTTGATGCTAATATTTCATTCCGTAATCTGTGGAACACAGCCCAGTTTGTATTAGACAGGGCAACCACGCTTAGGCATACAATTTTCATGTTTTGCTTCCGTGTGAAATGGGAAATTGGAATTGGGGTGTTCAAGCAAGGCAGAAGCACCCAGGGTGTTTCATCCTTGGGCTGACTGAAAGATACTCTTTGATATTACACTGTCATTTCTTTCACAAGCCAGGCTCCAGCTTTGCACAAAACCACTGGAAGCTGTTCCAGTTTCCACACAATCCATAAGTCCTAACAACATGTCTCCATCCAGCTTGCAGCTTTGGAGGCAGAGCCAGCCCATCATAGGCAGATTGAAACAGTTAAGTTTAGATCACCTCATGCTGAATTGGCAAAAGTCCCTGGACTTGCCTGGTGGGAGACTAAGGACAAGGGCTTTTTTCTATCCCCACTAAACAGCACACAATACTGCAGGATGCTTCCGCTGCAACATCACTCAGTGTTTGCTCTGCAAGAATAGTGACCAGGAGCCCACCCAGTGCTGTACCTGTGCTGGCATTCAGAGGCCTTGAAGCTTTTGTGCATAAAATTCCCCCAAACGAGCTGTGTGGCCCTGGCAGCTCTGAAAGTGTCCCTACACTGTAAATACACAGCTCTGCCTGTACTTCTGGAGTGCAACAAGCCCATAACAGGAAGGCTTCATCAGGATCCCAGCACCAGGAACTCTGGCATTACAATACCAAGGAGTGGGTCAGCTGGCTCACTGAGAGGAGTCTGTAGGGTTCTGAGCATCAGCTCGGCACATAAGCAACAGGGGCTTCCATGGGCAAAATTAGGGAAGCTGGAACATGTAGAAGGCCTAGGCAGGGTTTTGCTGGGTTGCCAGGTAGTGCATTAGCACCTCAGAAAGACCTGAGTGCTTTTGTGGTCCTCTTCCTAGGAAAGGTGACTCTAAATCCCTTCAGAAGCTGCTATTTAGGCTAGGATGTAGGCTCCCCCAGCACTTCAGGTGTTTCATGAAATACTTACTGGACATAGATCCTTTTGAGCGGTGCTACAGATCTTTAGCCAATCTCTGGCTGAGACATTTAAGGTTTTCTTAAGTACTTATTTAATGAAAACCAAATTTTGTATGTGTTTAGCATTTCACATTGCTCCTGCACAACCACTGAGCTTTCAGCTCTTTGAAAGTATAGTTAGAACAAGCTGCCATCCTGTAGACAGAGCTTAATTGGCAAGAAGATGTAGTTTATGCAGTATTTATGTTCTCCTGGTAAACAGAGACAAGTAAAATGTTTTACTTGTTAGCATCAATTCAAAGGAAAAGCAAAGGATGGCATTTGCTGTAATCATGTTCAATGTTCTGAAGGTGTCTGAGTGTTTCACCTTTATTCTAGGCTTTTGTTCAGAATTTACTTCTTCTGTTTAATAGTGTGCGACTGTTTCTGAGAATGCAGCGTATGACTTTGTTTCAAGGCAGTATGTTAGTAGAAGGGTTCTCTCTGGATTTTTCAGTGATAATATTAAGTAAGTGCAGCAGGAGGACACTGGTGAAATGAGCAGCAGGGGCCTGAGCTGACTTGTTTGGTGTTCACTTCTTCGGCAGCTGCCATTGGAATAGTGTTCAGATTAATGTGATTACTTTTTGCAGTGGCTGCAAGTTCATAGACCAACTGTGCACTTGTATCAAAGCCATTAAAATGATCTTAGTCCAGGTTTCCTACCAGAATTATTTATATAAAATGCATTTGAAATCCTATATTGGCCATTTACACGTGAGGTTTTCTATTTCAGGAAGCTTTGGAAACAGCCAGGATCTTCAGCTGCACCCTTTCCAAAAGATACAAGATCCTTTTAACATTTAATGATGACTGAGAAGGTGCTTAAAAATAACTTAGAAGCACAAAGCACATTAGTGTGCTCTATATTGGTTACAGGACTGGACTAACAGTTAAATTTTGGATTCTATTTGCATTTCTTGTCCTTTCTTGCTTCATAACCTGAGATGAATTGCCCAGTTCCCCTTGATAAATGAACTTAATGCTTACCTATTGTCCATATTTACATCATTACATTTAGGAGGTGATATAATATGAATTCAGCTTCCCAGAGAAAGGAACTGTAAAACTCTGTGGTGGTCAGGTAGTATAAAATATGTCCTTCTACATGACTGCACATAGTATTATCCACTGCATAATTTGCTGGGTATCAAGTCCATTTCACATGGAAAAGGTCTCTAGTTAATGATGGTATAAGTTCTTTTGGGAGGGATTATACTTTACTTACATATATATTTGTACAATATTCAACATAATAGCAAGCTAATCTTGATGGTATCATTTATGCTTTGCTACAATTTATACAATATAGGTAATCAATTAGACTGATTCTTCTGTATGCTGCTAAATGGAACATGAACAGCTCATAATGGGCAGCAGTAAATAGACATTTGTATGTACACAGGTACACTGCGCAGTGAAAGAGTCATGCAGGAGACAAGGTGCTGAACAAAACAGCCTTGCATAAAACCAGACATTCATTTAA